AGACGTGGGGGCCAGAGGGGAGGAGGCCTCAAAAAGAAGGTGGTGAGTGAGCCACATCTTGGAGCAGAGCAGCAAGTGTAGGTGAGTGCAGAGGACTAGACCACTGGGGTTCTCAGCAGGATGAGGGTCCCAGGTGGAGTGGACTGACGGAGCACAGGCAGATATCCTATGCACACTGAGGTGTGGGGCAGGCCATAGGCTCCGTGTGAGCCGTGGTGGATTTGAGGTGCCCATGGGCACTCAAGGGGAGTGTCTGGTCAATAGTCAGAAGGGTTAGTCTGGAATTGGCTTGAGGAACCCAAGGGCTGCAGAGATGGCTGCTGTGCCTGTGAATGTGTTCAAGGAAAAAGCCTGAGAAGCCAAGACAAGGGCCACCTGCCACTCATAGGAAGCCACCTCATCCTGGAGGCAAGAGGGAGCCATTTACACAGGGAAATGACACGAATGAAGCTGTGTTTTAGAAAAATCCCCCGGCAGCCATGCAGAGGATGGATCAGAGTGGGGAGACAGGATGCAAGTGCTCCCCTGGGAAGCGTGCAGTGATTAAGCCTGTGGTGCTCCTGGTTTTCTATGCCTTTTGTCTCTGGCTCAAAGAGATCATTTTCTCCCTAGAGAACAGGGGTGGCCTGACCACCTCCACTACCCTAGGGCTTAATGATGTAGAGGGGGGACTTGCAGGTGAGGTGTGGAGGAGGGCATGGTTGGTGATGAGGCGTGGAAGAGCCTATCCAAGTTCATTCGACTCCAAGGCTGGCACTCACCACTCTCAGTAATGTTGGGATGCTGATTGCCCTCCTCCCCCACTCAGGTAACAGTTCTGTGTCCTTTTTCCTTTAACTCTGAGGTTTTGCTTCCACATCACGGAAAAGGTTTCTTCTTTCCCCTACTCAGCCTCTGAATCAATAACTGACTGAAAGCAATAAAAATAAATCAAATGCACTTCTGGCTTTCTCCTTGTCTTCTGAAACAAGGAAGCAATGACAGCTTTTCCTGGAAGTGTGTTGTGACTCAGCTCCACGGCTTCCGAAGCTTTGATGTAGGGCATTTAGCTCCTAGGGCCCCAGGAGGCTTCAAGGAATGCTTGGGCCAATGTCCCAATTTAAAGGGAAACCGTGCATCTGCTCGGGAGCACCTGGAATTTCGTGAAAGCACTCCCTCACTCCCAAGGGGATGAAGGAGCACTGATATATGGGAACTAAACGTTTATTAGACAAATTGGACACACTGTCAGATAGAGAGAGCCTGTGTGATCCACGCGGCCTCATTATCTGATTAGAAGAACTTTGAAAGCAGGTTGTTGTGTTTGGTTGTTTTGTTTAGAAAAAAAAAAAAGGAAAAGCAGTTTTGATACCTTGATTTTAAAATGTCTAAAATGCCTTTCTCACTTTCTTCTTTTTTGTTTGAAAAGGAGTCTCACTCTGTTGCAAAGGCTGAAGTGCAGTGGTGAGATCTTGGCTCACTGCAACCTCCATCTCCTGGGTTCAAGTGATTCTCCTGCCTCAGCCTCCTGAGTAGCTGGGATTGATTACAGGCACATGCCACCATGCCCAGCTAATTTTTTTTTTTGTCATTTTTGTAGAGATGAGACTTAACCATGTTGACCAAGCTAGTCTCAAACTCCTGATCTCAGGTGATCTGCCTTCCTTGGCCTCCCAAAGTTCTGGAATTACAGGCATGAGCCAAGGCACCCGACCTCACCTTTTTCTTCTTTTGTCCTATCACTTCTTAACAACTTCTTACTACTGTTAATGTCTAGTTTACACTCTTCTTTCAAAATGCAATGCTGTCTTGGAAACCTAAGAAAAGAGTCCCACTTGTTATGCCTTGGGGATTGCAGACCTAAAGATAAGTGCTTTTCACCCAGAGTCTATAAATCACCTAATGTGGCAGGTGGCACACAATAGGCTGGAGGTTCTCCCCGCCAGCCTTCCCACTTCTTGTCAATGATTCAGTGGGGGTACGAGATTTACTTCTAGACAGAGGGGCTAGGGAGCTCTGTGGCCTAGGACCCCAGCAGGAAGCACTGTGTTACAGAGATTATGGCAACATGGAACCATTACAGAATTATACACCTAAACTGATACCAGGCCCCCCAAAATAAGTTGTCTCCAAGTTATTTTCTAAATTATCCACTAACTTCGTGTGAGTCAACAGTTGACTATCAACTTTTGTTTGAGCTACCGTCAAGACTTATTGATCTAAGAGATAAATATCGACCAAACTGAGACTGAGGTCAATGCTGGCCTCCTGGGAAAATCCGTCTTGATATTAACCAAAACCTGCAGATGCTAGGCATGATATTTTTGACTCTAAACTACTGGTCAGACAGAGGCTCAGCTGAGGTCAGCTCCTTTCTTTATTGTAAATTGTTATAGGTGTAAACTAGTTTCCAAATTAATCTTATTTCTGGAAAATGTGGTATAAAAACTTTCAATTTCTTCATATTTTAAATGATCAAGGGAAAATCTGTTATTTAAGAGCTGTTATTGAGAATACTTCCATAAAATAAAGAATCCTTCTGAAATGCATATAACCTCCCCAGTCAATTTTCTGTGAAGATGGAGAATTTCCTATGATGAGTACCCACCCAGAGGAGCACATCAGCTCAAACACACAAACAATCAACAACAAAAAACTCGTAGTCAGGACCAGGGCTATATTTGAAAACGCTATTGAATCTGATACTTTTATAAGTTGCCAAAAATTGCTTAAGACAGCATTTTGCACCCAACAGGTGCACAAAGGATTTTCATGTTTAATGGATAAATGAGAGGTGGGCCCCCCAGGCTATGCACTAGGGAAAGTTGTTTCCTGAAGACTGATGGCATTACACCTTATGGGTATGGATCAAGTCTCTTCAACTGAGTGTTGCTTGTTCTCACACGCAAAGCTCGTTGGGGCAATGGGAAAATACTATTATGAGAATCAGATATGACGACACGCAGAAAGCACTTGTTTGATCTATCCCTGGGATGTGTGAACGAAACTTCAATGTACAGCTGTTTTTGTTATTAGCAGAGGTAAGAGACTGGATTAGAAACAATACATCCTGAGCAACATAGAGAGAACATAAGGTGGGGAAATTAAGTGTAGTCACTCTTGAGGTTGTTGATAAATATCAGAATTAGAAAGAAAATATCTAAAAAAAAAGCCACATACACAAACATGCACACCCAGATGTGCAATGCTGCACACAGTCTAGAGGACAGTGAACTCAGCCTGTCTATCTGCAGGAGACTGAATGTCATGGGTGAGAACCATGATGCTCCAAGGCCAAGGGAAATGTATTGTTTCAGCCTTTATGCTCTACAGTTTCCAAAAGCCCACTGAATGCCAGTGGTTTATTAAAATAAGTCAAAAGGCCAGCTGCTGCATTTAAGAACCATATAGTATAGGTAACAGAGTAGATTGATGAGGAATTTTTTGATGACATGAACCAAATGGAACCCACTATATGAAAAGCCTGCTAGAATCTACGGTTCACTGCAGGCAAAAGAAGACTCCTTTAAAGAACAGGTGAAGTGCAGAGCAACAAGGACAGGAGGAAGGCTGAGCCACACAGGCGTTCAGGATCACATGCAGAGAGCAGCCAGACCCAGACTCCACACTGAGGCAAAGCTTCCAATGCCCTGGTAAAAACCTTAGATTTTGGAATAAGACCTGACTGCAACCCACAAGCTCTGTGACCTTAGGTAAGTCACCCATCTCTCACTTTACCGACTCTCAGAGGCTCATGTACCCAACTATGGTTGTAGAATTACAGAACCTATTCAACAGGGCTGGTGTGCAAAATCATAAACAAATATCCATTGCATGAAACACATTTCTAAACATAAAGAATACAGCTGGAACCACAGAGGACAAGCTCCCTGCCTTCATGGATCTTGTAGCCTGGTAGAAGAGATGGATGATTAATCAATAAAATCATGAAATATGTCAGGGTGGTGGTGTTCTATGTAGGCTATCAGGATAGCTTTTTCATTACATGATGTTTGATCAGAGACCACAGAGGGTGAGTAATATGCCATGGGAAGATCCTAAGGAGGATGTCCCAGGAAGAGGGAAGAGTGGGTACATGGGCCATGCCACAGGAACATGCTTGGTATATTTAAGGATTAGCAAGGCGGCCAGTGTGGCTGAAGGGAAATGAGAGAGCGGGATGGTGGTAAAAATTATGTCAAAGAAGCAATGGAGGGTACATCATTCGGGGCTGCACTGTCCAATGCGGTAGCCACTAGCCAAATGTGTTTACTCAGCACCAGAACTGTGGCTGTGAATTAAGATGTGCAGCAAGTCTCAGGTAGACACTGGATTCAGAAGACTTGGCACAATAAAAATAATAGAAAATATTTAATTAATAATTGCTCTATCGATTACATGTTTAAATGATAATATTTTTGGTGAGTTAAACTATATCACTAAAATCAGTTTCACCTGTTACTTGTCACTCCTTTAATGTGGCTACTAGAAAGTGAATTATAGGTGACATTCGTGAGATTGGCATTTATGTTCAGCAATACAGGATATTCAGAGAAATGCATTATGAAGTACTTACCCTATTTCTCTGCACCTAGTGGAAAAAGTTTATGAAACTAAAATTCCATTCACAGACAAATTGTTCAAATGGAAAGGCAAGTAAAGGTATTGAGGGGAAAGAGACTGACTGGACTCAAGAAAAAGGAATAAATAACAAAACAAATAAAAGTTAATTGTTTAGAATATGGTAATAAAGTTCAATGAAATTAGCAAGTAATGACTGTCGAAATTGAAGACATAAGGTAAAATAAAATAATCTGACAAACAGATAATATTGGATCCATTTCTAAACTCCAGATGGATCAGACAAATATAGGCAAAAGAGAAACTACACAAGTTATTTCATGTTAATCATCCTGGTGGATGTGAACTAGCTTTATGCTTTTAAATCGCACTGCCATGATGCCTATGAGGATCAGGGCTTTTTATGAGTTTACTGGCTATTTGCATTCTTCTTTTGTCAAGTGTGCATTTAAAACTTCTGCCCATTTTTTTGGTAGTGCTGTCTTTTTTTTTTTTTTTCAACGATCACCAGCTGCCCAAATGCCAAAAAATTATGCTTCCGAAATCTCTTGATGTCGATTCCGCACGAAAAGCAATCGAGTTGCCCTACGTGTGCCACTCACGACAGAAGCCCTTTTTGGTAGTGCTGTCTTTTTATTTCTTATTGATTGGTAGATGTTTGTATGTTCTAGATCAGAAACCTTTGTTGGGTCAGCCAGGCACACTGGCTCATGCCTATACTTTTGGAGGCCAAAGTGGGAGGGTCACTTGAGACCAGGATTTGAGACCAGCCTGGACAACATGGTGAAACCCTAACTCTAGTAAAAATACAAAAACTAACCTGGCATAGTGGTGTGCACCTGCAATCCCAGCTACTTGAGAGGCTGAGACACAAGAATCACTTGAACCCATAAGGCAGAAGCTGTAGTGAGCTCAGATAGTAACACTATACTCCAGCTTAGGTGACAGAACAAGACTCTGCCTCAAAAAAGGAAGAACAAAGAAAATGAAGGAAAGAAAGGAAAAGGAAGGGCAGGGGAAGAGAAGTGAGAGGAGCGGGGAGGAGAATGGGGGAGGAGGAGGGAGAGGTGAAGGGGGAAGGAGAGGGAGAGGTGAAGGGGAGGGGAGGGAAGGGGAGGGGGGAAGGAGAGAGGAAGGGGAGGGAAGGGGGAGGGGGAGGGGAGGGGAAGGGGGGATGGGGAGGGGAAGGGGGGACAGGGAGGGGAAGGGGGGACGGGGAGGGGAAGGGGGGACGGGGAGGGGAAGGGGAGGGGAAGGGGGAAGGGGAGGGGAGGGGAGGGGAGGGGAAGTGAGAGAAACCTTTGTCAGATACATGCATAAAGATATGTTCTCCCCATCTGCAGCTTGCCTTTTCATTATTTTATTGATATCTTTAATCAAAATAGAAGTTATAAATTTTAATATAATCCATATTTTTTTATCAATTCCTTTATGGTTGATGCTTTATGTGCCTTTTTTAAAAACATCTTTGTCTCTTCCGAAATGAGGAAGAAATGTTATCTTCATGTTTGTACCTTTCACACATATGTCTATGATCCGCCTCCTGTTAACCTTTGTGTGTGGTGTAGAGTCGGAGCTGCAGATCTTTTTTTCATATGCATAACCAACAAACCCAACGCCATATAAGAAAAGATAATCTCTTTTTCACTGCACTGCAATGTCACTGTTGTCATAAATCAAATGACAATCCTAGGAAGTTGTGTTTGGGCTCTTTATTCTGTTCCTTTGTCCACTTGTCTGCCCTTGTGTTAATACCCCCTTGTTCTGATTACACTAGCTTTAATGTAGATCTCGAGAATTGGCATATAAATCCTCCAACTTGCACTCCTCCCTCAAAATTGTCTTGGTCCTTTGTAGTACATATACACTTTAACATAGCTTTGACAGTGTCTCCCTCTCTCTCTCTCTCATGCACACATACACAACTAATTGCTTAACAATATTAATAACAAAATAAATAATAATGTAGTTAAAAACTGAAATAATAAATATCCACACATCCATACTGATATCAAGGAATTAGTGAATAACAAATAGATGAGGAAAGACAGCTCTTCCTTATCGAAGAATTCCAAATAATACATCTAGAAAGATAAGGGGAAATAGAAAATCACCCTTAGTGCACCGCAGTAAAGTCTGCTGCAAGCAAATTCCACTGATGAATGCAAAATTGGTGGGCAAAACTTCAAGGAAAAACAAGATATTTGCAAGCCTTAACATATCTCCCCTAAGATTCTTACTAATTACTGTGGTGGGTTTAACATATCCACAAATTCATAACACACCTCCCTTCTGGAGGTGGAGCTTAACTCTTCTTAGCTTGAATGTGAACTGGACTCAGGGACTGGCCTCTAACAAATAGGGTCTGGAAAGGAGAAAATTGTAACTTTACAGTAAAGAAACTTATCAGACACTGTCTTAACCAAGTGATCAATATGGGCATACCATTAACAAGACATATTGATGTCATGTGCCCCGATATCATGCAATGAGATGGGAGCTCCACCTCTATGCTGTTTGTCCCCAAAATCCATAACCGCATGATATCATTTGGCTCTGTGTCCCCACCCAAATCTTATCTCGAATTGTAAACCCCAGGTGTCAAGGGAGAGAAGTGATTGGGTTAGGGGGGTGCTTTCCTCCCTGCTGTTCTCATGATAAGTGAGTGAATTCTCACAAAATATGATGGTATTACAAATGGTAGTTTTTCCTGTGCTCACATACACCCTCTCTTGCCTGCTTCCATGTAAGAGGTGCCTGTTTCCCCTTCCACCATGACTGTAAGTTTCCTGAGGACTCCCCAACCATGAGGAACTGTGAGTCAGTTAAACCTCTTTTCATAAACCTGTTTACAGATTACCCAGTCTTGGGTAGTATCTTTATAGCAGTGTGAGAACTGACAGATACACCCCATTTCTAATGCTCAGAAAACCTCAGAGAATACCAAGTTAAAGAACATTCTAAAAAATTACTGGCCACTAATCTTCAAAAGTGTCAAGGCCATGAAAGAAAAAGAAAGCCTGCAGAGCCATCTTGAATTGTTGGAAAGCAAGGAGATGTGACAATTAATTGCAGTGTGAGATCCTGGATTTGGACCCTGCACCCAGAAAAGGAACATCAGCAGGTAGACCAAAATCTGGTTAAGTCTGAATTGTAGTTAATAGCAACGCATCAATGTTAATTTCTTAGTTTGACACATGTACCATGGCTATGTAAGAAGCCAACATTAAGAGAAGGTGGATGAAGGTACATGGACCTCTCTGCGCCAGCTTTATGACTTTTCTGGAAATCTAAAATTATTCAAAATCAAAAGCTCTGATATATTTTCTGGAAAACATGTGCAGCATGTTTCGGAGTAAGTACCAGGTGAACGTATGCAAGCAGGTCCACTTTCTATTTTATACATTTCTGAGTATGGCTTTTATCCTTCTTTTTGGAACAGAACACTTATAATAGAAAATATTTAGATTTTTAAGGTGTTACTCTGGGAATTAAGGATGGAGAAAGGTTGGCTTAAAAGCTGACACCTGAGAAGAGAGAAAGCTTTTGTTTGTGGACAAAAGTTTCTAAAACTTTCTGCATGTTTGAGTTAACAAAGGCACCATTTTGGCATCTGAATTGTGTCTTAGGCTTAAGATACAATAGGAATACAGAAGACAGTTACTTACCAGGGTGACTTTTCTCTGTGGTTTCAGCAGCTTAGGTTTATGGAACGTGGGGGCTATCGGAGCTGTGGAAGTAGGTCAAGGGTTTAGCTTTCAGTTCCTCCCAGAACTCTTAGTGGTTACATATCATGAGCATCAGGGACATTCTCTGAGAGGTCTTGGACCCCTTCCTGGTCCCAAGGAAGAACTTTCTGATCTAGGCATCATCAGGTGTCCCTCTGTGGGGGTGATCTTCCCCTAGTCTTTGAATGTGTTGTCATTTCCCTCAGTAAGGTCAACAAAACAACTCTGCATAAAACTCTGCCAGATATGCAGATGTTGGGTGTGAAGGTGAGAACCAGATGCACCCAGTGAAGGCTGAAGCTGGAACCTTCCCTGGGAAACTTCTTCCTACCCATACACTAGCGCTGATAGCAATAACTCTTGATCCTCATGGCATCCCTGTGAGGTCATCAGGGAGGGTTTTATTGTCCCCACTTAACAGAAAAAGAAAGTGAGGTCTTTCCCTCTATGTCATATAACTAGTCCTGAACCATTTAAGGATTTGAACTTGGCACTGAAAGCCAGGATCTACCACTTACCTCTCTTAAGTCTCACTTTAAACTTTTGTAAGGGTGGGTAATGTCTACTGTAGAATGAATAGCATTGAGTGTTACAATGCCTGACCCAGGCAGGCATTCTCTGCTCCCTTCCCTCCCAGGTCTATGCTTTTCATCCCCCTGCAGTATGACCACACCCTCCAGCCCTTCTTTCCACTCCAGTGCTCAGCCTCACCACCACTGGATTCTCCACAGGGCTTGATATGTCCCTAGGGGACAGCCCGCAAAGCCCCAGCTGAGGGACTTTTTGGGCAACCTTTGTATTCCCCCAACTATCTTTCAAATTTGCTGAGGTATGAATATCTCCTAAACTGACCAGTTATTTTAGGAACTATCTATAGTCAGTCTTGGCTCTCCTAATACTCTTGCAGTTCTTTCCTCCAGAAACACCCATCCTCCTCACTTACAATGCTCTAAATCAGAACTGGAATCACAGGATAGCCCTCATTTTATACCCAGAACAAATTTGAAATAAACTGGACACCTGGTTGACATCTTTAAAAATTCAGAGAGCCTTTCTTCCCTGAATGAACCAAGAAGACTTCCTCATCCCACCCCTCCATGTGTGGCACATTTTAATAGTTCAAAGTCAAACCCAATCTGGAGGCATCTGTAGATGTTTATCTTACCCCTGCTCAAGCTATGCGAGGCTCTTGCCTCTTTCTCCACCTCCACCCCCAACCCAGATACTGGGCTAAGGGCTGAGATAATTGAGCACCAGTTATGCCCAGAATCTAGGTGACGGTCCAGACTACATAATCATTAAATGTCATGTCATAGTCCCCATCTGCCTATGCTCCCTGTCCTAATCCAACATGGAACCCCAGACCCACATGGATCAATAATGACAATTTCCAGGTAAGAAACTGCAGGCCAGCTCCTTACCTTTGGCAGGGACTGCAGGAGGAACGTCAGGCTTCTCCTTCTGCCTCTTGCCCTTCTTGGGCTGTAGTGGGGCCAAGCTGGTCATGCTAGTGACAGTCTCCCCTGAGCTGTAGAAGAAAAAGATTCCGGTGAAGCCAAAGGCAGATTTGTTGCAAAGGAGAAAGGAAAAAAAATTTAAAAACCCATGGTAGCTTCCAATAGTTTCTGAGTGCTCCCTGTGTACCTATGCAAGGGAAGGTTATCATACGGGTAGACTAGAAGTGCTCTGTTCTTTTTTTGGATTTAATTATTTAACTCTTTAATATAAAATGGAAGTTTCTGGAACATCATTTTTTATTCAGTTGTAACATCATGTTCAGGGATTTCCTTAAGCTGAAAAAGACCTGCTTTGTCATCATAATTTTTGTTCAAAACAGTAAAACTGCACTGAATTTAATTTTAATTCATATTTCAACAATTTGATCTCATT